ATTCCAGTGAGCAACTTTCCAGCATTTTACGAGCACAATCGGGACAGGCCTAGCCATGGTTATCTTCAGCTTTACATTTGCATTCCTCCCCGTCATTACATTTAAACTAAATATTTGGATGTTCATGTACACCTCATTACAAGAACGGTTTTATAAAAAAAGGAAATGAAAAGATTCAAAGGGGAATTAGTTATGCATTTTAAAGCTTACTTAGAACGTTGCAAGACGTAGACGCTTAAAAAATTTATATTTTCTTCGTAAATGGGTGCCATGGGACTGCGTCTTCTTGTTTTCAAACTTGGTCACTTATCAGTGACATTATTTCATTTATTGTAATAATGTGTCCATGAACATTATAAAAAGTGATTCAAGATGTCACCGGTATCGAATTCACCCAATGTTTTTCCCATCTCTACAACCCCCCCCCCCCCCCCCCCCCCCCCCCCCCCCCCCCAACAAAAACCTTTTCCGCGTGGGAAACATAGAACACAAACAAGCAAGTGAGCAACCAAACAAACAAAGCAAACCTACTAACATTAAAAACAGCAGGACAAAAGGCCCTAATCGCAGGTTACATGCGATTGTTTTCTCTTGACGAGGTGATGTGGCTAAAATCGAAAGCAATTAAAACTTCCACCACAATAAGACGGTTAAAATAGAAAAATACATTTTACTCTACACTTTTTTTACTATATTTGTTAACTCGCTTTCTGTTTTTTTTTTTCCTATTTCCTACAAAGAAAGAATGAGGTAATCAGAAAATATGGCAAGCACTGTGAAAATTGCTAAACTATGCCAAAGTATACTGGCATGTTATACCTCGGCGAGTATGTTCTGCTTAGTTACCATTTTGCACATGAAAACAAATTTTGTAAAACGAAGCACAGAGGGCAAAATGAGATGTTAAAAACGCAATTCTCACAGTCTTTCGCACCTCTTTTTTCTTCCACTGCCAGATACCTGTTGGGTTTTGCTCATTCTTTTTTCAATTATCTTTTTTTTTACTACGAGCTTGGCTTAAACTACCAAGAGCCCTCCCTCGTCCCCTTCCCTTCTCCTCAATCATAACGATGCTGAACGACACCTTCGATGGATAGAGCTACCTCCTACTAAAATAAGCTAAAGAAGCGTTGCTGCACGATTTCTTTATCCATGCGCGATTTATGATGCGCAAAAATTCAAACCTAAATTGAGTCAGCCAACTGTAATAACCAATAACAACAAAACAAAACAAAAAACAGAACGGAAAAAAATTGGAAAAACAAACACAAACAATTTTGTCATCTGAGCGCTATCAATGATATATCGTAATTTGCTGATACGCAAAAAAATCCAGATCTCCACGCAAATACAAACCAATACCAGTATAACACTGGAGTAGGTTACAACACACTCCCTAACTCGTCCAATTTAGAACGAAACTTTATTAGTCCTACCTTTTCGCAGATCGATTCTCTGGACTGGAGTGGCAACGCCATGCGGATCGGTCATTGTCATTGAGCTGAAATCAATTCGGAAATCTTCTTCCTCTTCAGAAGTTATGGTCACTCCAGGTTTCTTCTGACAATAGGCAGCTTCGATCTTTGCATTTATGAGGCTTCCATATTCCACAAATTTATCGCCATCATGGTTCATCCATCTAATAACCTTTGACAACGCCTCAGCTCGCTTGCGTTCGTCTTCTTCTTCATTCAAGTTATGCAAAATCGTATGGATCTCACCCGCAATGTTTAGAATGTCTGAAGGCTGGCCACGAATTAGAATGCGCCCTACAAGTTTCTCGACAGAAACTGAAACATCATGTATTTGCTCAAGGGTGTGAATCTTGCGGAGATTATCTCTAGAGAATGTAGTGACGGCTTCATGCTCAATAATTTGCGTCACTGAGTTCTCTTTCATAATTTCGTTTATACAGCGAGTTGCTCCTTGAATGTCCTCCTTACAACCAGCAAAAACTGCAAGGTGGAGAATTTTGTTGGAATCTTTGCTCTTTGGAAGCTCAATGTCCTTTTCCCCAAGGCCAAGTAAATCACTAAATCTGGATGGTTGTGAATTCACAAATGATCGTGAAGCGTGAGCCGTCTTTACTTGAGAAGCACGACCATAACCAGAGTTGCTAGGTGCAGAGCCAAAGACAGATTTTCCAACTTTACGGGCGCGAAACGTCTGTTCGTCAGCAAATCTTTCCTTAAATTCTCGCTCAAAAGCCTCAACAGTCTGGTCGTCTTTGTCGATGAGATGAATTTCTGACAGACGGAAGTTTAAATTTTTTTCACAGAACTCGTGTACAGTGTCTAATATAATCTTAGCACAGAGATCACGAGGGAAGCCGTAAATACCACAACTGACACCTGGAATGGCCAGTGATGTAAGATGTTTTGCTTCTGCCAGAACATTCCTAATAGCTTGTTTGAGATACCGCTCTTCTTGCGTTACTTCCTCCCTCTGTCTCTTCTTCTCTGCCGCAGGACTCCACTTAGGCCCGACAGCATGGATGACTTTACTACAGGGCAACTTTCCCGCGCCAGAAACAAATACATGGCCCTCAAGTAGAGTACCATACCGTCTGATGAAAGTATCGCATTCGTCTTGAATATCTCTGCCGCCTTCTCTCACGATTGCTCCAGCGACACCCCCTATGTGCTGTAATCTTTCGTTAGCTGCATTCACTATGGCGTCCACACGATCCTTTGTAATATCACCTTTCATCACTGAAATTTTCTTTCCATGTTTTGTTGAACAGCTGCAAACAAATTCTGCAGCTGACTGAAAGTGTTCATCTTCTCTTGAGAAATCAGGAACGCTTTCGACTTCGTTGTTTACACTAGTCAAAATAACACACTTGTGTGAATCCTCAACAGATTTTAGGATGCCTTGCCCTTTACCGTCTTTAAAAAATTTCTTCATTCCCGGTTTGTCAACTGGAATACACTCTTTCTGAACAGCACCAGTGAGATCATGAATTTGAGGAACACACTTTGCCATTCCTTCGGCGGTGCCGGAAACCTCTATCCCCGAGTAGTCGGATGTTGCTCTCATGTCAACATAGCAGTTGGAAAGTTCACCTTTTATGGCTTCAAGCTTCTTTTTCCACAACGTTGCTATAAATCTTGTTGTTCCCTCTTCAACTTGGACAACTTTGTGAAATATGGTGTTTTTTTCCAGAAACTTCTGTACTTGATCTGAACATTCCTCAACATCGTCTGTGATACCTCTGATCCACACGTTGCTTACAGAGGCGTCAAGAGCTATTTCAACTTTAAACTTTGATGTCATCGACAACTGGAAGTCTTTCCATTCACGACTATTGGTGACTTGGGTATTTTCAGGTGTTAGATGGATACTTTTTTCCATGATGGAATCCTGTAAAATAGCTTCTGCTTCTTTCGCGTTCCTTACATCAACTCCGACCACTTGGACTTCGTTTAAACGTCTCCCCTGGTCGAGAAGTACCACGGCCTGAATAGATTTCTTTTTAAACAGTTCTTGTATGAATGTTGAAACGCGTTGTTGCCTCAAAACATCTATGATGCCGGTTGGTTGTTCAGTCGTTCGTTCAATTACTTTTGAGATAAATGTGACCACTTCAAGTTTGACTTCTTGGATGCTTTTTCTTGGACCCTTGAAACACAGCTTTTCTCCAACACTGTCAAAATTAATACTTAAATGGCGGTATTTGTCGGCAAGCTCGTTACACAGGCCTGACATCTCGAGTAAAGTAAGTCTGGACTTTGCATAATTAGTTTCCACGACCTCAACCACAGACTTCGTCAGCTCTGAATCTTTCTTTACTTTCGTAATCAGTTCCTTCAGTTTTTCCTCTTCTTGCTCCACGACAGTCTTCTTGCCTAGAATTAC